AAAAAAAAAAAAAAAAAAAAAAAAAAAAAAAAAAAAAAAAAAAAAAAAAAACAGATCTAGAATATTTCAAGCTACCCAGCTGTTTGTTTTTATTCATTCATTTGGATACCTCCACACGTTTATAAATAAGTTGCGACCAAGCCTTCTTTATTTCCCTTTTTTCAATTCTTTTTGTCAGCTATCCCGGATAACACCTAAATCGATGTCGATTGCGGGATGTGTCGTTACAGCGCTGGCAGCCGTTGGAATAGGGTAAGTACGAATATGATACGCTATTACCGGTGTGACAGGAATGGTGGGCCTAGGATTGGAAGTCCGGGGTCCCATATGATTAGAACAGGTTAGGGTTAGTTGGAGTATTGGGGTTAGTATATGGGTCGAATGTCACCTGTACAAAGTAATGGGGGAAGTAAGTATACGGTCCATACCGGACAACCATATCTGTCACACCGGTCCAGGATGATCCGGTTTCAATCAGTTTGACGCCAATTCCATATTCTCTATAAACGGTCTGAGATAATCCGGTTTCAATTATAGCGATTGACCCCGGCTTTTACATCAATTTGAAATTAGAAAGGGGGAAATGAACATATATGAATTATATGGTCATCCCAATATGTCTTTTCCCCCTGGCGGTGCACGCATATTACTTATTTTTTAGTGATGGCAATATTTTACTTTCTAGATCTCTGCGTGTTAAGCAATAACGCTAAGTATTGTGTCCCTGAAATATAATATAATATAATATAATATAATATAATATAATATAATATAATATAATATAATATAATATAATATACCAGGCTGGCAGGGGAGTTTTCACGTGGCCGCGTGGAATTCCTACCCTCTCTCCTCGTCCTGAGGATAATCCAAGGTAGCGGTTTCTCCGCCATAGCTGTGGCTGTGCAGGCCATCCTGTCTGCTGAGATGCCGGAGCATGGTCTTGGGGTGCAGGTAGGGTTGTCTCCTTGATTTGATTTGGTTTGCCTTGTTGTAGAGTGGCTTTGCTGCATTTTTATTGAAGTCTATTTGTTGTTGTTGTTGTTGTTGTTTTTGTTGTAAAAACTGTTGTCGTTTAATTTCTATATAATATTCTGTTTATTTTTAAACTGTTTGTCTTGTACATAAATATTTCTCCTAGATTATTTAGTAATTTTATAACTTACTTATTTGATTAAATGTCAGTAGATGACTGTGGTTTCAATGCTTTTTGTTATTAATTAGTTAACTTGCTTGTATTACAGGCCGCATACCAGGGTAGCGTGGCCCTGGGGTTTACACTGTCTCCACCCATAGCTGGAGGGCTGTACGCTGTAAGTCTAGATCTCTGTCTCCTCCTCCTCCTTTCTCCTTGGACCCCCCCCCCCTCCACCCCCCTCTCTCTCCCATCCTTCTTGTCATTTCTTGCTTGCATTATTCAAATCTCACACTTATCTCATAAGCATCTCATACATGCATTCCTTTCGTGACAAATACGATAAGGACTTCATATTCAAGCAAGCATACACATAATGCACTGTCATTTGAATAGGCTTATTTTTTACAGATGAACTACTTATGTTCCAGGCTAATGGTTTCTGGTTGCCGTTCATTGTGATGTCTGTGATACTTGTCATTATCCTTGTCATTGCTGTGATTCCTTTACGACATTTAAAAGGTACGTTATTTGACAGGCGCTTGTCTGCAGCTGTCATATCAGATATGATAATATTGCGTTTCTGTTGAATTTATGTACATATGTCTTTAAAAAATTTAAAATCTGATTATCGATATGCCTAATAATATAATTTTGCAATGGGGTGGAAATGATGCGAAGAAGTAACGTTGAGGGACGTAAAGAAATGAGGCCACTTTTTGCCTGGTTGAGTCGCTAAAACGCCTGTCATTTCTTGTTATTTAGGTCAAGTTGTGCAGCACAAGTCTGGGCAGTACTTTCCTCTTCTTCTGCAGCCGAGAGCCCTATTAACAGGCAAGTTGACACAACTGTGCTCTTAAAGATTAAAAAAAAAATTAGCACCATTTATGTACCATATTCAAGCAAGTAGGCAAGTTAAAAGTATAGGTAACAACAACTTTAGAAAGTTTACATCTGCGTCGACAATTATATTTCCTTTCTCTTCAGTTTAAAGTTATTATATTGGGGCCACAGATCTTGAACTTAAATTATTACACTGTAGCACACAATGGATATATATTAATCAAACCCTGTCGTTCACATTTCAGTTGCACATTCGTTGGTCATCGCTGCCGTGTTCAGGTTCTTCGAAGGTTTTATTCCAGTGCATATGCATGAACAGGTGTGAATTATGTACAATTTCTCCCTTGATACTCAATTTTAGAATCACTCCAGATTAATTGAAGAATTCTTCCTTATTAACCTTTGCAAAACTGTGCCTATAAAGATTACTCATTAATTAACTAGGTAAATGGTAGCTTAGCGTGTGCAACGTGCCTCAATACACTGATCATCAAAGATAGCATAACGAGCTTTCAAAGGAAATTGACCAAATAAGAACCCTATAGAACAACAAAAGTCTCGATATAAATTTGAAACTTCTATGGTGTCCTCATAAAAGCCGAGCTTTCCTTGAAGACAGTTAGTTTATTTCTGGTTAAGGTTATACAGCGTAAAATGCCACCATTGTATCGTTGACGGTTCATCTCTGTCACAATCTCGTTCACAGTACACGTGGACTCAGTCATTGATCTCCTTGGTCTCGTGATTAAACTAGTTTTAGCGCCATCTATCCTTTCCTTTCCAGTTTGGTTGGGGCCCGGCAGAAGTAGCCTGGTTATTTACTGTCTGCGCTGTAGTTTTCCTCATCTTTTTGCCCATTTGGGTAAAACTGAATTCAGCTTTAATGGTAAGATAACTTGTATCGAGTAATGATACTACTGTTTAATTCCTTAGACTTCCAATTAGACGTCTAATAAAATACAATATTTTGAAATTTACTCGCCAAGATAAGACGTTATTTCAGTTACGTAAACGTGAATGGTTTTGGGCATATTTTTTCGTAATGTTATGTTTCTGTTTTCAGGGCAATGTTGCAGTGATGAGCTGGTGTATGTACATGTCTGGATTTTCACTCATTCTCCTTGCACCTGCACCCTTCATACCTGTAGAATAGTACGTATCTGTCGTTACGTTTACTATTAGAGAGAAAGAGAATAGAAAGAGAACCTGTGTAAAAGAAAGAGAGGGTGTGTAAAAGAAAGAGAGAGGGGGAGAGATATATAGAGAGAGGGGAAGGGAGAGACGGAGAGGAGAGGAAAAGAGAGGGTGAAATAAAATTTCGAAGGCAAAAAGCCAGTGGAGAAGCCAAAAAAGGCATTGCAAAACAATCTACATTAAATTAAAATTTGCCAAACATCAGTTCTAATAGAAATTACAGCCAATGAAATATTCACAATTCCGTTTCAGTCCATGGTGGATTACCTCCCTGGTTTGTTTGGTTTACATCATCAGTTATACGGGTGCCATAGTAACCAATGTCCCGGATCTTAATTTTATTGCAGGGTAAGTGACGCTGGGAAATGCAACCAATAAGCGCCAAAGGTTAAAATTGGAAATTTAAAGGACACGCTTGTTATTAATTGTAATTGAAATATTAAATGAAGTAATAAATGCTTGAAATTTCTATGGGACAAAGTGAATGGGTGAAAACACTTACAAGTAAGAAAAAAAAAATTGGTGGCGCCTAAGTCACATTCCCAAGTCAACTTTCATAGCCTAGATATGTAATTGTTTTCACCTATATCTATATACTGTGCTGCTGCCTGCACTCACGGTTTACATTGTATTGTAGAAAAACGGGTTATCCAGACAACTACGGCACTTACGGTATTGTATCGGCCTCGGTGAATGGAGCGCTGACGTCAGGGTAAGTACACGGTAAAATTGTCACAGATTCTATTTTAGACGATAGAATTGATTAAAGTTTAATCAAGTTTTGCGAGTCGTTTCGTAATAAATAGTACCAAGTGATATACTGTTTATACATTGGACAGGAAAAAAAATCCCTCTGGACATGCTCATGTATGTAACCTTGTTTGATAATTTTGCATTGCAGTTTCTTTTCCGGGCCATTCATAGGTGGCGCTTTAACTGATCATATTGGCTTTGCCTGGACAACCGTCGTGTTTGGATTGATACAGTGTGTGTTTGTAAGTATCAGGCGCTCTCTCTCTCTCTTAGTGTGGGTGTTTTGGCAAATTTCATAAAACAGTTATAAATTACCCATTTTCTCCACCTCTCCCTCTCTCTCTCTCTCTCTCTCTCTCTCTCTCTGGATGATCTATCTTCTCCTCTATCTTACTTTCTCACACGAATATATCCAAGCCCACACAAACACATTTCTTATTTTGCGAGTGTGTTTGGAGTGGGTAAGTTTATTAAAAAAAAAAAAAAATACACGCACACTGCCTGTGGTTTTTGCTGTCACAATGCTGTTCACTAAAGTATTTTTTTCTGCACTTTTACAACTTTTTTTTTATCAAAGTATCTCTAAGGCTTCTGCTTATACCTGAATTAATATTAAATTTCAGGGACTACTTCTTATAGCTCGACTAATAGTGGATAGAGTACTTGGTCATAAAGATGGCACCGTGGGATTAACCAGACAAATTTCTAAGCAATTATCAAAAGCCGGAGTGGAATCGGGAGTGGAAAGTTCGGAAATGGTATATTTAGAACATAATGATCATACCCAGTACAACACGGGGACTTCTGATGACAAGGGAATTGAAAACAAGGCGTTTGATGGGTCGTCTGATGTGAAAAGTCCGATATCATGTGACCCGGGGAAACTAACTAATAATGTACCGGGGTCTACGACATGTGACATTCCTAAGTCACATGTGGAAACCGAAAATTCAGGCTCTGCTACAACAGAATCGACAGCAGAGACATCGAGTGACAGTGGAGTAGACGATACCGAGCATCAAAACACAGCTCCCATGAAACAAACTGCAGACGGCAGTAAATCGAACTGAGTCTTCGTGAAAGGTGTAATATCCTAAAATAGTAGTTCGATTTTTAAAATTTTGCTATGTAAATATGTTTTCCTTTGTTTGTATTTTTGTAGACTATGAGCTGCGTTTACAAATTCTTGTTTAAAACGTTTCCTGTATAGTATATTATAGTTTAGTACAGTACAGTACAGTACAGTACAGTACAGTACATTGTGCAAGTTTCTATTTACAGAGGATTTATATCCATGACAGCTTTTATTAGATATTTATTGATCATTTTGAATGAAGACACTTCCTTAATATTTTTTTCGTGGTACTTTAAAATATTTCATGGAGTATTACAATTTAAATCATGTGTGTGAAGTGTATGTGAGAAGGGGTGCATGCCACAAAGACGTAGATTCTCATTAAAATTGTGTGTGTGTGTGTGTGTGTGTGAGTGTTAACATTATGCATACTTTTCTGTGTACGTTGTGCTGTGTGTGCTGTAATTTTACCATAAATTATGCGAAATGATTAAGAAAATATGCGACACTGTGACATTGGCAAGAGCCGTCGATATTGTAATGTTGCAATTGAATATGGCCAGTGAGTAGGAAGATATCTGATATATTTTACGCAGAGTCTTTTTATTACTTATATCTTAAGGAATTTTATATGTATGAAAGCAATTTTGTTCAAATCGGCAGAATAAAAAAATTGAGGTTTTATAAGTGCTGTGAGGGTGGTTATATAACATGAAATATAACATGCCAACTGGAACAACAACTGTGTTGGAATGATACAAAGGCAAAATCTACTTTATTAATACTGCTAGAAGCGACTTCTTGATATAAACAAGTTACAGTAATGAAATATAAAAAAAACTAAATTTACTAACAAAATGATGAGAATGTAAGAAACTACCATACGATTAAACATCGATTTAATCTGGAGCGTTTAATACATATTATAATTATAATGATATATTACTTGTAGTGATTATAACGTAGGGTACGTAAATCTAGTTATGTAGATGTGTAACTGATGATGTTGATGGTCGATAAAAAAATCATATGACTGATTGATAGACTGATATCGTCGTCATATATATATATATATATATATATATATAGAGAGAGAGAGAGAGAGAGAGAGAGAGAGAGAGAGAGAGAGAGACTCGGAGAGTTAACTGCTTCACATTAGTGCTGCTCAAAGATGCCGCCATATTGGACGAGACGAGGACTCTTAAGTCGGGCACGACAGCGTCTCAAACCACGAAAACTGAGGCAAGGGGTACACCGACTGTCGCCACCTATTGGATGCTAAATATACCCGGGCTATGAGGCACGGAAGTGACGATCTGGTATGTCCATAATTTTATAACAGGGAAGGCATTTCTTATTGGTGTCGTCACGCTATCCGTACTCTAAAAGAATTATATACATACATACATACAGGTTTACAGGTTGTCGAAGGCAGGGGAGAAACATTTTGGTCAGTTATCATTACACACCAAAGTGAAACTTTGAGTGGCGTCTAACTGCGGTATATTCAGGCAAATCCATAAGGCATTTGAAGAAGAAGAATATCAGTGTCAACACAACGTCAACTATGCCGGAGTCGAAATCGCTGACGACTTTGGACAGGCGACAGCGAATACTGCTAGCTGCGGTTTGTGGATTGGTGTTTGCGGAGAGCTTAGTGCTGACTATTGTAATACCGCTTTTACCCATCACTGTAAGTAGTCCCTGGTAAAAATTTACTCTTAAAGATGTGTGTGTGTGTGCCTTTTCTTTAATGATGACAAAAGTTAGAAAGATGACAAAAGAGGGGAAGGGAGGAAGGACGGAGGGGAGAACTAGACGACGAAATTATATTGTTCTCACATACTCAAACATTGCATAGGTGAATTGCAGCGATGTAAAACACTTCTGTTTTCTTTGTATGTGTAACACATACTCTCTACAACTACAGGTATTTGGCCAAAATATTTGAAAATAGGTGCTTAACATTTACCAAGGAACCATTTTGGCTTCTGGCTGTTATCTGCAAACTACTAAAATCAGGTTTACTTGAATGAGAAACCACTGCGTAATTATGGCTCCCATGCTGCAGTGACTTTTCATTATTACCCGCTTTCAGACATATCTGAACGAACAATGGATATAAGCCTGTTTGTAACACTGTGAGTTGGCCATTGCGCCTTGCACCTTGCAATTAGCGTCCCTGCTTGAAAGGACTCCTCTATCTCTACGAACTCCACGGATTCTACTGCACGCAAAATTCGCAGGGGACGTACGAACCTAAAATTCGTGCGTCCAGTTGTGACCGAGGTTTAATATCAACGGAGGTAGCGTGAGGTATTCACACATGTACTTATGTAGTCGAAGACAAAGGAGACCATTTTGGACAGTTATCGTCACATACCAAAGTGAAACTTAGCGTGGCGTCTACCTGCGGTATATTCAGGCAATTAATTCCATAATATAAGGCATTTGAATAATAATATCAGTGTCAATACAACGTCAGCTATGCCGGAGTCGAAATCGCTGACGACTTTGGACAGACGACAACGAATACTGCTAGCCGCAGTTTGTGGATTGGAGTTTGCGGAGAGCTTAGTGCTGACTATTGTAATACCGCTTTTACCCATCACTGTAAGTAGTCCCTGGTAAAAAAAAAAAAATGGTGAAAGATGTATGTGTGTGCGTGCTCGCGTGTGTGTGCTTTTCTTTAATGATCACAGAAGTTAGAAAGATGACGAAAGAGGGGAAGAAAGGAAGGACGGAGGGGAGAAGGAGACGACGATATCATTTTGTCCCCAAATACTCAAACATTGCCTGGTTTCTTTGTATGTGTAACCCTAACTCTTTACAACTACTGGTGTGTGCACTAAAATATTTCAAAATAGGTGCTTAACATTAACCAAGGAACCATTTTGCCTTCTCGTTCTTATCTGCACACTACTATAATTAGGTTTACTTAAAGCATGGACAAAATTACGTTATTATGTCCAAGCTTGAAGGAGAGTCCACTGCGTAATTATGGCTCCCACGCTGCACTGACTTTTCATTATTACCCGCTTTCAGAAATATCTGAACGAACAATGGAATTAAGCCTGTTTATAACACTGTGAGTTGGCCATTGAATCGCCAACTCGGAGTGTTACTGAATATCATCAGTGGTAGCGCGAGGTATTCCCACATATACTTAATTACATAGTCCATGTTCACCGGCAAACCACCAGCCCTCACTCTATAATGGACATATATAAAGTTTCTCATTCCACCCTATATTGCAAACTGTCGAAGCTATAAACGACCACGTTATGGCAAACTATGCGTGTGTCCTTCGTTGCACCTCCTAGTATATTCCTATTCATTTGTACAGGTAAGCCTCGCCCTAGATTTTGACCCACTTAGGTCAGGTTTACCCTAACCATTATAAGTAAATGGAGGGCGGTCTTTCTGTTACACGGTTTCTCAGTTTCGTTAACCGGCTACATGGAACGTTCAAGCACTTACGTGCGCCAGTTCTACCACGTGCGTAATATAAGTGACGTCACATAAAGCTCTGAGAATTTTGAACACAAGGTGGCATGATGAAGTCTTGCATGCTTAGAGTGTAAGGCAGAAATATGAGTCAAAGCTCTGAGCATTTGAGGGAATTGTAATACATAGTACCAAGTGAACAATTCTTAAAGAGCTCTGGTGTTTGAGTTTTGCAATTTTTTTCTTTAATGAGAATACGTGTGCCACTCAGTCTTCTTATTTATCTACATTGAATTTCAGGCCAAAGAAAAAGGTGTGACAAATTTTGAGGTTGGGATATTATTTGGGGTGGCATGGCTGGCTGCCGCTTTGTCTGGTGTAGTCCATGGAAAACTGGTAAGATAAATGTCATTTTAGAATAATCGTTTATAACTGGCGTAAACTGAAATTTAAATTATTTATACAGCTGGTTTGCGATGATGTACCCCTTCATCGCCTCTTTTTACATATTTTAATTTCATTTATTTATTTTTATGAATGCAGCTTTCATCCACATTCATGAAGTCGTGAATAATAATAATAATAATAATAATAATAATAATAATAATAGCAATAGCAAAAACTTAAAGCAAAACACCACCTACAATTTTTCAAACCACCTGATTCTTTTTTGATTCTGAATTCTAATGAGACCACCATGATTATAAATTAATTAATTTCATTCTCTTTTTTATATTTCAATACTTGTTTCTATCATTTTTGTCAGCTGTCACGAATCACACCTATATCTCTGGCGATTGCTGGATGTGTCATTACGGCGATAGCAACCGTTGGAATAGGGTAAGTACGATTACGTTATGTACTCTATAATCGGTCAGTAATATCCTGTTTTTTTTTTTTTCATAAAAATGGTAATTGTAATGAGAAAACTAATACAAATAGTTAGTTATTGTTAAATGAACTAATTTCTCATCTATTGAACAAAATCTTGTTAACTGAGTGCATGGCTTTACTCTTTTAATGTATCATCAGTTCGTCATTCAATCTGGGAGCAGACGACACGTTTGTTTTGGTTAGTGCTTAAACGAGGCAGAATATGATACGGGTGCATATCTATAGCGATTGATATTCCCAAAGAGGAGACACTGTGGAAATAAACCATGATGGCATTTTTAACCAATGAAATAAGAAGACTTTTTATTAATCAATGATATTTATTAACGGTATATATATTGCTCAAAGCTTTCTTTACTTTCTCTTGACGGTTCAATAGATATTTGAAAGTGATAACAAGATACTGAATTTTAAATCTGCACTTTTGTAAATAACATTAAGCATAATAAGCATAATATAATATAATATAATATAATATAATATAATATAATATAATATAACAGGCTGGCAGGGCAGTTTTCACGTGACCTCGTGGAGTTCCTACCGTCTGTCATTGGCTTGAGGATAATGCAGGGGTGTGGCTACTCCGCCATAGCTGTGTCAGCCCAGGCCATCCTCTCTGCTGAGATGCCGGAACACAAGCTCGGGGTCCAGGTAGGGTTGTTTTCTTGATTTGTCTTAATTTCACTGTGTTGTTGTAAAATAAGTTTCGTTAAACGTTTAGCTGATGCATATTTAAGTTAATCATCCTATTATTATTTTAATTATTTGTGTTATTTTTCTTCATTTAAGTCATTGCATTCGATGATAGTTTGATCGTCCTTTGGTAGATGGGGTTATCAATGCAAAATGTTAATTGCCATTATTAACTAGAAGTTGTCCTTATTACAGGCCGCCTATCAGGGAAGCGTGGCCCTGGGGTTTACACTGTCTCCACCCATAGCTGGAGGGCTGTACGCAGTAAGTCTGTACATCTCTCTCCTTCTCTCTCTCCTTCTCTCTCTCTATCTCTCTCTCTAGAGGGCATGTATTTTTTTCGTCTAATCTTTCCTCTTTCTACTTCGTATTTTCTAATATGTATCAAAGGTAAAATCCAAGAACAGAATGGGATAGATAAATGGTTCGGTAGCACGAGAAAATTGCTTATTTTCTCAGGAAAATACATTTTTTTCGGGTTAATCTTATGGAGTGCGTCTTTAACAAACCCACTATCAGGGTCGTCACGATTTTTTTTACTATATATATATATATATATATATATACACAGGTGTCTCTGGCTAATTCATCACGTGTTTCGCGCTGAAGAAAAATGCACATGATTAGTCTGCGTCCCTGAACACCCCATATACAAGCAAGAATGCGCGCTTAATGGATGGTCAATTTAATATATGCTGCTAAAACTTGACAGAATGTCTTCTTTACGTTACAGGCTAATGGTTTCTGGCTGCCGTTCATTGTCATGTCTGTGATACTTCTCATTATCCTTATCATTGTCGCTATACCATTACGACATTTAAAAGGTATGTTTTACGACAGCCCATTGCCAGCTGGCTGCCACGTCAAAAAAAAAAAAAAAAAGAATCCACCCGTAATAATTTTTTTAAAATTTACGTGCATAAATATGAAATCAAAAAACGGAATATAGATAATAATTCATGAATTAACTGGAAAATACACAAATTAAAAAAATATTGGCCATAATTATATCTTTGTATACTTTTTTTCGTTTTTTGAATGATATCGTTAAAATATTTACCCCTTTTTCAATTCCATTTTCTCCACATTAACGTTTTACAGTTTATTATGTAATATTTGCTGGCTTAATTATGATGGGAAGATCTCCGTATCTTTGAAAAAAAGTGAAAATGTGAGTTGATTTTATTGGTCGATGACCTTATTTCAAGTCCGTTCCACATCGTTACCCCCACTACGTTGCTCTCCTGCATACTAAATTCCCATTAAATTGTGAAAATACCCTCTTAGACCCCATTTCCAGAGATTAGATCGATCTACTTTAGATCGACCTAACTCCCTGGGGGTTCACGCTAAATAGCTGTCAGCCGAGAGGACACGAAAGTTAATTACCCCCTTACAGCTTGTAGTAGGCGGGACGGACATTTAAGTCAGATTATCTGACAGTAATCTAGTGAGACTCCCCGCGGGGATAGATCGATCTAAAATCTCTGGGAATACAGCCTTAGATTATCCCTCCTCCTGCCCCCACATCTTACGTCCCCATCATCGGGTTTTGAATGACGAATAAAGAATTACTCTCGGGTCTTTGTATAAAACAGTATATTTTAGAAATGAAATTATGTCATCCTTTACTGGATGAGGGAAGAAAGGTAGGTTATTGTTAAAATATATTTAAACTGAAGACTGTTAGATTATTGATACATTAAATGATATAGAACTGAGTATATCCTAGTAGTTCTTCAGTAAACAGTTATCAGTATTGTTGTTATTATTGATAGTATAGGAATTAAGAATTATTTGTATGTCACATTTTAACAGTCAATAAAACACCTGACATTTCTTGTTATCTAGGTCAAGTTGTACAGCACAAATCTGGGCAGTACTTCCCTCTTCTTCTGCAGCCGAGAGCTATATTGACAGGTGAGTCAGTGCGACATGTATTTTAATTTGCTCTTATATATATTAAATATAACCATTATAAATACGGTGCGTTGTTTCGGCTCATGCGTCATATTCAGGCCTGTTTTCACTGTAGCACACAATAAACGTCTGTTAATCATACCCTGCCGTTCCCATTTCAGTCGCACATTCTTTGGTCATCGCTTTCGTGTTCAGGTTCTTCGAAGGCTTCATTCCAGTGCATATGCATGAACAGGTGTGGCTAATATACAACATGTCCCATGATAAATATTTCTGGATTCATTCCAGTTTAATGAAATAATTCCTATTAAAATTACTTATGTGTTTAATTTTGTTAACTTGTGTTTAAAAAGATCGACATCCATTATGGATCGATCTTGTAGTAACAAGCGAATGTTTCAGCACTTAAATATTACATTAATTACAGTAAAATATTGTGCGATGTGATATATGGGCTTTAAGTGCACATTAAGCGTTGTTACAAGAAAGGTTTTTTTTTTTTTTTTTTTTTTTTTTTTTTTTTTTTTTTTTTTTTTTTTTTTTTTTTTTTTTTTTTTTTTTAAGAAGAAATTACATAGAAGACCTCCACGAAGATTTTGAAAAAATCTATTAAGTTTCCATGAAATCCGGTTTGGCAGGGACGGTAGTCCGCTCTAAACAGTAGTCCGTTCCCCATTGTTTTGGACATTTGTACGACCCATACACTGCATGATCACGGTACTTCAGACTTACCCTGACCTGTACTTATCATATGGGACCCCGGAATTCCATTTCTAGGACTACCATTCCTTTTACAATTTTAATATGTAATGGAGCCCCTGTTAACCTCGTGTGGTGTACGTAACGCAGTGTCACATTCTTTATGTTTTCTTCTCTGCCACAATGTCGTTCACAGTTCACGTGTACTCAGTCATCGGTCTCCTTGGTCTCGGGATTTAACTAGTCCTTTTCTTTTCCAGTTTGGTTGGGGCCCGGCAGAGGTAGCCTGGTTATTTACTGTCTGCGCTGTAGTTTTCATCATCTTTTTGCCCATTTGGGTAAAACTCAACACGGCTTTGATGGTAAGATAACACAGTGGAACAGTAATAGGGCTTCGCAGCTATTCTGCAAAAATATAACATAGCCAGGGTCGTTTGACTAGAAGTTAAGATATTTTAATGAAAATCAATTCAGTAAGCGCAGACCTCTGCTCAGCCAGCACATAATTAATTATTAATATTTTTTTCTATTAATTTATCCAATTCCCATTATTATCAATCATTCATTCATTTATCGTTGAGCTCAATTTTTGCCAGTTAATTAATTATCTTGTTGCTAATAGTAATTTACAAATGCAAAAATTAATTAAGTTCAGACCGTAACTCAAAAATATGCCCATAACTTTTAATATAATGTTGCTATCAAATGGAAAGTCAAACAAAACCAAAATCACGATCTCCTTGTTTTAGGTAATCTATGGCTGTACTCCCAGAGCTTTTAGATCGATCTATCCCCGCAGGGAGTCTCACTAGATTACTGTCAGATAATCCGGCTTAAATGTCCGTTCCCGCCTACTACAAGCTGTAAGGGGGTAATTAACTTTCGTGTCCGCTCGGCTGACAGCTATTTAGCGTGAACCCCCAGGGAGTTAGGTCGATCTAAAGTAGATCGATCTAAACTCTGGAAATGGGATCTATATATATGTGATTGATTTTGTGCGTTTTTATATATCATGGTGAATAATGTTACATTTCTTTATTTCAGGGTAATGTTGCAGTGATGAGCTGGTGTATGTTAATGGCCGGGATTTCATTTTTTCTTCTCGCACCTGCACCCTTCATACCTGTGAAATAGTACGTGATTGTTATAACGTTTGCTAACACTGTGTGTGTGTGTGTGTGTGTGTGTGTGTGTGTGTGTGTGAAAGTGACTGGGTGTGTGGGTGGTGTTAGCGTGTGCGTGTGTTTGTTGGTGAGCGCGCGCCCACGAGAGAGAGAGCGATGAAGACAAAGAATAAGAAATATGCTTAATAAAATTCTTTATAAACTTAAAATTTGTCAAATATGTGTACATTTCTCGAAATAAATGTAACAGTTGAGAGAATATTCACACCTCTGTTTCAGTCCATGGTGGGCCTCGTCTCTTGTCTGTTTGTTTTATGCCATCAGTTATGCGGGTGCCATAGTAACCAATGTCCCGGATCTCATTTTTGTGTCAAGGTAAGTGAATCTGGGAAATGTAACGGATAATCAACGGAACACAGACAAATTTAAGTAATATCTGCCTTTGATTTGCAAGAACATATCTGCCTTAATTAATGATTGAAATATCAAATTTCTACGGATCATGATCATTTAAAAGGATGTGGTGAAAATACAACAAAACACAGCTTAAATAAATAAAAGCACAAGTAAATTGATAATTAAGTATAAAAGTATGACAATTAACAGAATTGCCTTCTCTCTGAACATTTACACCTTATTTCTTTAAACGACTCAGTCTTGGAGGCTCTGCCTTTGGCTGACACCCAAGGTGCGTGTTCTAGCGAACTATCGAAGGTTAGATACGTCACATATATCTATATATTGCACTCACGGTTTACATTGTATTGTAGCAAAACAGGTTATCCAGACGACTACGGCACTTACGGTATTGTATCGGCCTCAGTGAATGGAGCGCTGACAATAGGGTAAGTGTACGGTAAAATTGTCACATATTCTATGTATATACGATTTATTAGATTAATTAAAAAAATGCAAGTCATTACCATTTCCTTGTTTTAAATTGATTTCAGTTTTTTATCATTTTGTGAATGTTTTTTTTTTTTTTTTTTTTTTGCAATAGATAATATAAGGTGATAAATGTAATAAACGTAAATTTTTATGACAGAAAAAAATGACATCCGCACATATTATTTGATAATATTATTTTGCAGTTTCTTTTCCGGGCCATTAATAGGTGGCGCTTTAATGGACCATATTGGCTTTTCTTGGACAACTGTCGTGTTTGGTTTACTCCAATTTTTGTTTGTAAGTGTCTGATCGCCTGTCCGTCATTCTCTGCTGTCTCTCTCTCTCTCGTGCGCGCACGCGCACGCGCACGCGCTCTCACTCGCACATTGAGACCATACATTTATTTCCTTTTTACGAATCTGTTTGTCGTAAGCAGGTGGATTGGAAAAGTACACACGTTCTACCCGTTGTTTTCACTGTCACAGTGCTGTTTTTATAAAAATGTGTCCTCTGCTCATTTAGAAATAAAGATCACAAAGGATCCTGCTGATAAACGAATCATTTCTGATTTCAGGGACTATTTCTTATAGCACGACTGCTAGTCGATACAAATATTTGGTCTGTTATTTGCATTACCACAGTGCAGTTAACTAGAATGTGTCTTCTGATATTTGCAACTTTTGTTAAAATCTCACAAAGGCTCCTGCTTAATACCCACATTAATCTTTAATTTCAGGGACTATTTCTTATAACACGACTACTGGTTGATAAATTTCTTGGTCATAAAGATGGCGTCGTTGCTAGAGGGCTTTCCAGACGATTACCACAAGCTGAAAATGATTCCGCCGGACCTTCCGAAATGGAATATCTCGAACATGGTGATCATGTCGAGAAGGACACAGGGAAGTGCAGTGGTAAAGGAATTGAAAACAAGGCGTTTGTTGGGTCGTCTGGCGTTGAAACTCCAATATTCTGTGAACCAGGGAAACTAACCAATGATGGACAGGAGTCCACGTCATGTGACATTCTCGAGTCACGCGTGGAGTCCGAAAGTTCAAGCTCTGCTGTATCAGAACCTACAATAAACAATGCCGATACTCAAAGCACACCTCCCGTTGATCAAACTGAAGACGACACAAAAACAAACTGAGTTTGCATGAATGTTGTAAAATCCTTCAATAGTAGTTAACTTTTTTTAAAATTTTGATATTCAAATTAGTCTTCTTTCACTGGCGGTATTCACAACAGATGTTGTAGTGATCCGCTGATCAAATATGGCGGCCCCATGAAAAAAGAGCCGACTTATCCGCTGATGGTCTCCCTACCTCCGCACGTGCCATACAATGGATTAAATCACAGCTCCTAGGTTTAATTGCTAGACCCCTGCAAAGACGACGCGTCTGGAGGTGGGGAGACCACCAGCGGATTAGTCGGCTCTTTTTTCATGTAGGACCTGCCATATTTGATCCGAGGATCACTGTTGTAAAAATTAGTGAACAATACAACCTATATTATATTGTTGTAATGCAAGATAAATATTTAGATCTATTTATTCTTACAGCAAAATTAAACTCATAATGATTAAATATATCCTGGTATTATAAAACATCTTTGCAGTTTTACATCAAACATTACAGTTCACAACCAATGTATTCAGACTCAATGTATTTTATTTCCTTATTTTGGAATTGATTCTTTTCTTCTTTCCAAACTTATTTTCCTCCTGTCATCAAGTTCTTACTGGGTCCTTCTGCCCTGTTTGTGCGATTTAAAATTCGAAACTTCAAATTATTTTAATTCAAAATAAAGCATCTGAAGTCGTCTTACTAGGCACGTTCCACTCAGGCCCAACAATAAGGCGACCAAACTTGAATTGATTCAGTAGCTTTCCCAGTATAACAACACGCCATATCACTTGTAAATCGCGTTCATACTCTTGGCGTAATTATTTTCCAACTATGGCCTTCTTAAAATTCGCAATCGATTGAATAGAGAGAGCACCAGGTTTTACATATTTGAACGTTTTGCAAGTATTCCCTCTTCTTGGTGGCTTGCTAAAACTGAAACCGCTCCGGTGTGAGCCACTTTTGAGCTCTACGTGCTCTAAAACGTCATAGGAAAAACCCAAGTAAATCTCAGTATAAAACAAATTCATAGTTTAAAAAAGGCATATATCTATATGTGAACTCTCCGTGTCGGCTTAAGTATGTCACTCGGACTATATAAAGTAATAGCAAATATATGAATGTATCTCAAAAATGGCTCTCTCTGAGACAAAGTAGAACGTTTCTATTTGATATGAGCCCTACCAAAAAAGTTTCTGCGGCTCCGTGTTAACTGTCCTATCTTGGAGACAGGGAGACAGTATATCACCTATTAACCGTGTTCAATAATATTTCCTTTCACTTCAATTAATAGTCCTTAGATTGGTGCCAGAGGTCTTGTACTTAAATTGGTTGGTACTGCATTTCATCAAAATGCGCTATCTACTCGATGGGATTATCAGAGAGAAAATTTTTATTTTTTACAAAGTAGAGTCCCCTCTGTTGCTTTTAACCTCCTTTCCTATCTTGGACCCGTGCTTCTCAAGACTGTTCATGCAGTACCCGTGGCAAGTTTAAAGTCGACATTTGAAAGAGTAAAGACTACTCAATCCTAAAACCGCAAAGGTGTGAACAGCTGTGGACCTCATCGCACTATATATCGTCAAAGGTGAAAGCAAACGTTATCTCAGTGCAAAACAAAATGAAAATAAAGTTATCTGACTAGGAACTTTCCGAGCAGGCCTATCAATGAAAGCCAACGAACTTGAATTGATTCATTAGCTTTATCGGTATGACAGCACCTCATACCACCTGTTAACCGTGTTCAGCAGAAAAATAATATATTTTATTTATTTGCAAAATATATGTTATTCAAAATTTCCATCTCTGCAATTGCTTATATGGAAATCGCACCAGTTATTACACATTTGGATGTTTTTTTTCCTCTCTTCTTAGGGTCACTCTAAAACTAAAACGCGTCTATTGTGAACCGCCTTTGATCCCATTGCACTCTTTAATATCATGGGCAAAGGCAAAATCAATCTTAGTATAAAACAAACTCTCAAACATTCATGGCTTCCTGTATATGGCGAATTTAACCGTTCATGATAAACCATGGTCGGGGACTGGGGATGAAATGTGGCACCCGGATTATCGATCGGGATAGCAGATATACAAATGTACATCCAACCTGGCTCTCTTCGTGGCAAGGTTGAAAGTTTCCATCGGATCAGGTCGTATCAACGAAGCTGGCGTGGCTCCGTGGTAACTTTGCTGTCTCGTATACAGACGATCTCTGGTACCATGGTTCGAGACCCACCAAGTATAGCACTTTCTTTTATTTTCCAGATTTAAATTTTAAAAATTCCGATTGGTTACTATAAGAGGAAACTCGTAAGTACGGAGGGTGGGCGGGTCTGTCACGGTGCAGTCGGTAGCGTGCTTGGATGCAAATGAGATACCCAAAGCGCCCCCAAACCATGGCAACGCAAAGTCACGAGTTCGAATCCCGGATGAGGCACGTTAGTCCATCACGACAACCCCAGTCCCCCACCTGAATCGGGACCCGGATGTCACGAGAACGAATCTGGGCTCTCCTGGGTCCTAGCAAATTACCTTTTGCAAAAAAAAAAACGGTATATTTTAGAAAGTTTACATTAAATGATCGATTTAAAACGAACATATTGCTGGTCATTAGAATAAAGTCTGCGTCGTCAAGAATATTTCCTTTCTATTCAGTGAAAAGTCCTTAGATTGGTGCCACAGATCTTGTACTTGAATTGAGCAAGAACAAATTCCATATGATCTGCACTTCATCAAAATGTGCTATCTTTCTCGGTGGGATTATCAGAGAGAAAATATTTATTTATTTTTTAAGTCTCTGTTGCTTTTGTTTTCAACAAGGACACATGTTGTCTTTTCATGCCCCTCATTTCCTTTTTTGCACCCTTGCTTCTCAAGACAGTTCATGTGTTCACACAGTACCCGGGGCAAGTCCGCAGTCGACATTTGAAAGAGTAAAGACTACTCAATCCTAAAACCGCAAAGGTGTGAACAGCTGTGGACCTCATCGCACTATATATCGTCAAAGGTGAAAGCAAACGTTATCTCAGTGCAAAACAAAATGAAAATAAAGTTATCTGACTAGGAACTTTCCGAGCAGGCCTATCAATGAAAGCCAACGAACTTGAATTGATTCATTAGCTTTATCGGTATGACAGCACCTCATACCACCTGTTAACCGTGTTCAGCAGAAAAATAATATATTTTATTTATTTGCAAAATATATGTTATTCAAAATTTCCATCTCTGCAATTGCTTATATGGAAATCGCACCAGTTATTACACATTTGGATGTTTTTTTTCCTCTCTTCTTAGGGTCACTCTAAAACTAAAACGCGTCTATTGTGAACCGCCTTTGATCCCATTGCACTCTTTAATATCATGGGCAAAGGCAAAATCAATCTTAGTATAAAACAAACTCTCAAACATTCATGGCTTCCTGTATATGGCGAATTTAACCGTTCATGATAAACCATGGTCGGGGACTGGGGATGAAATGTGGCACCCGGATTATCGATCGGGATAGCAGATATACAAATGTACATCCAACCTGGCTCTCTTCGTGGCAAGGTTGAAAGTTTCCATCGGATCAGGTCGTATCAACGAAGCTGGCGTGGCTCCGTGGTAACTTTGCTGTCTCGTATACAGACGATCTCTGGTACCATGGTTCGAGACCCACCAAGTATAGCACTTTCTTTTATTTTCCAGATTTAAATTTTAAAAATTCCGATTGGTTACTATAAGAGGAAACTCGTAAGTACGGAGGGTGGGCGGGTCTGTCACGGTGCAGTCGGTAGCGTGCTTGGATGCAAATGAGATACCCAAAGCGCCCCCAAACCATGGCAACGCAAAGTCACGAGTTCGAATCCCGGATGAGGCACGTTAGTCCATCACGACAACCCCAGTCCCCCACCTGAATCGGGACCCGGATGTCACGAGAACGAATCTGGGCTCTCCTGGGTCCTAGCAAATTACCTTTTGCAAAAAAAAAAACGGTATATTTTAGAAAGTTTACATTAAATGATCGATTTAAAACGAACATATTGCTGGTCATTAGAATAAAGTCTGCGTCGTCAAGAATATTTCCTTTCTATTCAGTGAAAAGTCCTTAGATTGGTGCCACAGATCTTGTACTTGAATTGAGCAAGAACAAATTCCGTATGATCTGCACTTCATCAAAATGTGCTATCTTTCTCGGTGGGATTATCAGAGAGAAAATATTTATTTATTTTTTAAGTCTCTGTTGCTTTTGTTTTCAACAAGGACACATGTTGTCTTTTCATGCCCCTCATTTCCTTTTTTGCACCCTTGCTTCTCAAGACAGTTCATGTGTTCACACAGTACCCGGGGCAAGTCCGCAGTCGACATTTGAAAGAGTAAAGACTACTCAATCCTAAAACCGCAAAGGTGTGAACAGCTGTGGACCTCATCGCACTATATATCGTCAAAGGTGAAAGCAAACGTTATCTCAGTGCAAAACAAAATGAAAATAAAGTTATCTGACTAGGAACTTTCCGAGCAGGCCTATCAATGAAAGCCAACGAACTTGAATTGATTCATTAGCTTTATCGGTATGACAGCACCTCATACCACCTGTTAACCGTGTTCAGCAGAAAAATAATATATTTTATTTATTTGCAAAATATATGTTATTCAAAATTTCCATCTCTGCAATTGCTTATATGGAAATCGCACCAGTTATTACACATTTGGATGTTTTTTTTCCTCTCTTCTTAGGGTCACTCTAAAACTAAAACGCGTCTATTGTGAACCGCCTTTGATCCCATTGCACTCTTTAATATCATGGGCAAAGGCAAAATCAATCTTAGTATAAAACAAACTCTCAAACATTCATGGCTTCCTGTATATGGCGAATTTAACCGTTCATGATAAACCATGGTCGGGGACTGGGGATGAAATGTGGCACCCGGATTATCGATCGGGATAGCAGATATACAAATGTACATCCAACCTGGCTCTCTTCGTGGCAAGGTTGAAAGTTTCCATCGGATCAGGTCGTATCAACGAAGCTGGCGTGGCTCCGTGGTAACTTTGCTGTCTCGTATACAGACGATCNTGGGCAAAGGCAAAATCAATCTTAGTATAAAACAAACTCTCAAACATTCATGGCTTCCTGTATATGGCGAATTTAACCGTTCATGATAAACCATGGTCGGGGACTGGGGATGAAATGTGGCACCCGGATTATCGATCGGGATAGCAGATATACACATGTACATCCAACCTGGCTCTCTTCGTGGCAAGGTTGAAAGTTTCCATCGGATCAGGTCGTATCAACGAAGCTGGCGTGGCTCCGTGGTAACTTTGCTGTCTCGTATACAGTCGATCTCTGGTACCTTAGTTCGAGGCCCACCAAGTACAGCACTTCTTTTATTTTCCAGATTTAAATTTTAAAAATTCCGATTGGTTACTATAAGAGGAATTGATTCATTAGCTTTCCCGGTATAACAGCACGTCATACCACCTGTTAACCGTGTTCAGCAGAAAAATGATATATATATATATATATATATATATATATATATATATATATATATAAATTAAAAACAGGTTTACCTGTATCTCTGCAATTGCTTATATGAAAATCGCACCAGTTATTACACATTTGAATGTTTTTTTCCTCTCTTCTTAGGGTCACTCTAAAACTAAAACACGTCTGTTGTGAACCGCCTTTGATCCCATTGCACTCTTAAATATCATGAGTAAAGCCAAAATTAATCTTAGTATAAAACAAACTCCGAGCTCTGTGTCGGATTCTCAAACAAACATGGCTTCCTGTACATCATGAATTTTACCGTTCATGATAAACCGTGGTCGGGGACTGGGGTTGCGTTGGACGCTGGTTTTAGACCAAGCAAATATATTAGTTTTTTTTTTTTTTTTTTTTTTTTTTTTGCAGAATTAGATTTTAAAAATTGCGATATTACTATAAGAGGAAAATCGTATGTACGGAGGGTGGGCGGGTCAGTCACAGCGCAGTCGATGGCGTGAATGAATGAAATAAAAATTCAAAGTCAACATAAACCATCCGGTCAGCCACAACAATGACCTGTCCCCTGAATCGCAAAGTCACCAGAACGAATGTGACATGATGTACTTAGAAATGGACGTTCGGGCAGTTGTATGGTTGGCACAGATAATGGTAAGATAGAAGTGCCATGGTGCTCCCTGTCAGGGCTACTGATTTTTTAAACAATATATATACACAGATATATTTCTGGCCGAAGCATGACACAACTCTCTACGGTCCCAGTGAAGAAAACTGCCCTACATAAGTTAATATCTGGTGAAAAGTACAATCTGCGTCGCTGGTAGAGGGTCGTTTCGTATGTGGGGCGAATGTTACACTGTATCTGTCCAAAATATAGCAGAGTGCCATGTCCGTCACCCAGCTGCTTAATTGTACAACCTCTAGTCTACACGTGCCCACTCTAGCTACTGCTTTATCATCTATCTCCCGCCCCCCCTCTCTCTCTCTCTCTCTTCTCTTTGTCTCTCCCTCCTTCTGTCTCTCCTTCTCTCTCTCTCCCTCTCTCTCTCTCTCTCTTGGCCACTTTCATCTGGTTTCAGATAGCTGGCCCCTATGGGCTAGTGTGTGTTGATATCCACTCCTGTACGGAAGTCATTGTACTGAGAAGAGGGAGATAATGGTAAAGTAGCACTTCTTCTTGACAAAGAACTGATAGGAAGACCCCTGTGGTGACAAAGAACAACTTAGGAGGGGGCATTGTTCAACGGTGATACTTCTACGGGGTTCGTTTTCACCTGAAATCTTTACAGTATAGCTCACCTGCAACCACTTCACTTTAAAAGGGCCACGCTCTTTGTCGTGGCGATAATAAAAATCGCAACACTTCTGATATATGTTTTTCTGTTTATCATCGTCATTATTTCCATATATGTTTTCTTTTATATTTTTCATTTTATTATTTTGTTTATCGTTTTTATCGTGTTTATTGAATCAAAGTTTGGGTGGCGGTAGACCTGCCAGTTTTGAATTATAAGTAATGTTCATCAGAGGCATATATGATTCCCAATTGAAAATGAATGGATAAATAAATAAAAAGAAGAGATTTGTTTATAGATTTCAGTAATAAAGAAATACAATGAAAAATATTTTAAAATCTTCTGGGGGCTGTGTTAATTAAAGCTACAACTTGAGTCAATCCAAAACGACTTTTCACCTTTCTAAATACGTATAATACCATCGAGCGTTCCATTATCCGCCTTATTCAGCCTGCCCCTCACGGCCGGTGGATGTTGTTTTTCTTAACGACTTAGCCACTGAGCGGGGTACTTAAGCAGTCCACCAAAACACTGGAATTGAAACGATTATTTCATAATAGAGAATATTCAATGCGTGTAGGTTTACCTGTGATCCCCTAGTATTAAGTATTAAAGAGTGTTTTGAAAACAGGGGAAGGATTTATTGGTGGTCTTAGTCGGGTCACGTCCGGCGATCACGGTCAATGTACCCCCCCCCCCCATCAAACCAATCCTACTCCCACCCACACTATTTTCATGAGATGCACTTAATGGGATTTAATGAGTGTTTCCCCTGGAGGTGGATCCAGTGACCGTTCTAGAAAGAGGTTCGGGGGGGGGGGGGGGGGTGGGTTCTGATCCACCTTGGGTTTTTGAAAAATATATCACACCAATATTTCTACCTATGACATATACTGTGTCTATATATACTTTACATTTTGATATTTAAATTTGATCAACGTTCCGTTTCTGCTCTCTTGTGACACAAGCCCCTGAATAGGATCAAGTCAGTCCTAAAATAAAAACCTTTCTCGTAAATAGTTCTTGATCTTCTCGATATTCATTTTACTTGTTGGGTGCGCTGCTCTAATCCCTGTAGCATGTAGTTAAACGAAGGGGGGAGGTATTTTTTTCTGAAAAAGTAGACTTTTTTTACCTTCTTCGTCAACCCACTGTGAGATATCGCACAAAACCTAGTTCAAATTGTGATTCGTTCGTTCCAACCAGCTACACAGTCCTGTCAACGAGACTGATATACGATTTTATATAAACATACATGTACACAAGTATATAGAAATACTGTGGGTACATTTCGGTAAATAGACGATACAATACACACCTCGCATATCAGAAACCACACATTTGGCTAATTGGCCCATTTTGAGCACCTGCCCTTAATTACGGCACTATCGATTAGTTCATTCGTGTTGACATGGACATGACAACAAGTGCTGCACGGTCTTAGTTTGTTCCAACACCTGCGATGAGTTAACGACGTCCTATCCTATTATATGCTGCTGTATTATAAATAATTATATTCTGATGAATCGTTGGACTGAAGGATTCAACAAATAGAATGAGCCAATAGTGTCCAATGATTAATTTTTCAACACACTCATATTAAAAAATCTTTGTCTAGAGATATGACAATAATTTTTCTAATAAATTAATCACATTTCCGACTAGAAGCGCAATCACTATGGAAAAACCATGACTTTAAACTTCGTCACAAGTTATTGATATTTCATGTATTCTACCGCTAATAGAAATGCCTATAATCAACTATAATCAAGAAAGAAGAGAAAGAAATCAAAATTTCATTTTTGTTCGCAAAAACTTATATACATGTACTTGGTTGGTTATTTCTTCAATTTAAATTTTCAAGATGAAGAAGCTATCTGTAAAGACCTCTCTTATCTTGCCTTAATCCTTACCACGCGTTTATCTTCTCAAAAAAAAAAAAAAAAGAATAAAAAAGCAGAATGAATTTAATTCTGAAGGAGGAGCAGCAAATAAAAAGACTTTGATAGTTCACTGACAGAAAAAGAAACCGATACTTCACTTCGAGCACACCTGGTTAATTGACAAACGATTCAGATCCTTGAACAGCGATAGAGACACGACAGGGGGTCCTGAAATACTCGTAAGGGCTTAAGAGGTGAGTCAACCGCCTTGCTGAGACGCGCGAGAGCGAGGTGTCTTAATGGCTGCACTAATTGCCTTAATTAACAGGTTGCGTCAAGCGCTCTGCCTTTCAGGTTCTACCTGCAGAGGTAACGGGTCGTGAAGGTTCAATCTGACCACTTAAGTGCGTTGATCCTCTTCCCCCGACCCCCTACCTGGGACAGCAGCTTGTTTTTGAGGAAGTGCATCAGAATACCGTTATGTGGAGTACACTAAGGAAAGGCACAGTCTTATTACAAGCGACAACGCGAGAATGCATTGGGATAAACTATTTAAATTATTTATTTATTTATTTTTATTTATCCCACATCATTTCCTTCTTACCATTTCCGACGCTAAGGTTTTTCAAACTTAAACGTGCAACCAAAAATAAACGAAAAACAAAATGTGGAAATGGGTCCAAATTTAGCTAAGAGCGTAGGTAAAGTAACGAAAAAGAAAAGTTGGATAGACTTAAACGTTTGAAGATGAACTAAGTGAAATACGCGTTAATATAAAAAAAAATATAGAAAAAAATGCTTTCTCACAATGCATAGTAAAAGTCTTTTTGAGAAGAGACTCCATCACTGCATCACTCTTCCCAATTTTAATTTGAGTGAAAAGCAAACTTGATAATATTTTCACCCCAACTAAATGCTCGGTTGATACTTGAACGAATAAAGCGTTTTATTTAAGATAACAGCATTCGAATTAGTTATCAGAAGCTAAGTGCCCGATTTAGAGTTGTAAAATAATTAAATAGGGACATTATCAATTTAGAGATCTCTCAGGAATATCTTCGCACATTTTTAAACCAGGTGAGATAGGTGAAGAACAGAGAGGTAAGGGTCAAAAGACAATAACACACGCGCAGCGCTCCCTTTATCGCTTGACAATCTACGCTTCACTACAGCGTGGGTCGACTTAAAACGGGGGCCGGTTTCTATACAATCTCTAAATTACCCAAATAAAGCCCTTGAGTTCTTTAAATTCTTCCCCCACTGTTTGTTAATAGCAGGTAATTGCGGTAACCGTGTCCCGCCTTTTGTGACTAATTAGCATTGCCTTCCCCATACGGGAATCTATTCAATTCTACCCTACCAGTTGAGCATTCCCATTAAATACACGCTTCATTAAGCCAACATTCCATAACATTGCTATTGTATTAGTGTTGTTCACGACTAGCAGGTAAAACGCAGTACGAAAACAGATCTGTTTACTGACGCATGCGCGGCAGAGGGCGGTGTCTTTTGATGAGGAACAACGGCTAGAGCACTTGTTGGAACAACACGAGCAGCGGTGGTTTTTAATAAAAGCCACAGAGAGAAAGAGGAGTCATTCGATAGCCGACCACTGGTGAGTGGACATCGCTCTGCAAGTGCTCTCTGGATTAAGTGACACTTTAATAATTATTGGACATTGACCACTTTCATTGCCGGACACTGGTCAAGATGATGCAGGCTGAGGTGTTGCGGCACGGGCAGTTTCACCTGTCACCCACGGCTGTTTTGTGCAGGTAAGTTTTTTTAATGATTTTTTTAGCATAAATTTGAACAAAGTTTCATCAGTTTATATAGGTTCAGTAGGAAATGTTTTTGTTATTTTTTTCTTGTATTTTGTTTTCTGCTTCGAGTGACAAAATAGAACGATAAATTAAATATCAGCATTAAGGGTGGAATTATGTAAAAATATATATATATATTTTTTAATTGAAAAATCATTTTCAGTTTATTTAAAATTTTAAGATTGGAATTTTTCAATTGATGATTGTAAGATAATAAATTACGTAATGTCTAAAGGAATACATTTAATTTTATGTGGCTTTGTATTATTATTAATTTGTTTTAAATTTTGTAAGCAGTGTCACAATATGTGTGCACTATATCAGCATTTCTTATTATTTCACAGTGATCAGTAGGCTATAAGATAAGATTATTCGGTAAAAAAGTATATGTTTTCTTTTTTCAAAATATGTATGTTCATGCCTAGAATAATTTATTACGTAAACGTTAAGTTTGGTTTTATAAAAACAAAATAGAAACATGAATTTTATATTCGTGCACAGCTTTTTTACATGTTATCTCATGTAGTACGTACTACATCACACGTTTTCCCAGAAGGGAATATGATATCAATAAGAAAATGTTATTTAAGATAAAGTACATAAAAATTAACCTAGATTTTTTTTTTACTTTTTTTAAATTTAATTTATTGACTAAACAACCACTGTAAACTTTACCAATCTACATATTCTCGTAAAAGGAAATCATCGTATTTATTCAGGCTTTTATTTTATATAACTGCGCATTTGGGTTTAGAATATTTTTAATTCCCCACTTACGAAAATTATTAATTTCAGGTCGGACGAACAGCTACAACTCCCACCATCACCCCCTAAAGACAACAGCCATCCTATCGGGTTTCCCTTCTCCAACCGACACAAAAATACCATTGGTATCCACATTCCAGTCCCAACAACTTTAGGACCAAAACCCATGAATCTCTCACCATCGTCTTCTCAACCACGGCTATCACCTACGATTTTAACCAATCAAATGGCACCATTTAGATCTCTGCTGAGCGCTCCATGCCCGCTGATGCCGTCGTCTGCGCTGTCACCGCCGCATCCCGTGCCTTCTCTTCATCCTCATCTTCTCGCCGCTACAGCAGCACCAGTACCACGAGGGATGATAAGCCAAGAGGAGATCAATGCGATGTTATACGGACGTTGGTTGCAAGCCGAGGCGGGGAGATTGTATAACTACGCCCTTTCTGGAATGGAAGGTAAATTAATTTACATCTTAGTCCTATTTAAAAAAGAAAAGATACCTATTTTTATTCGGTCCATATTCCTATCATGGTTATTTTGTTGGAGGTTTAGTGGCAGGCTAAAGAGAAAAATGATTCCTATGCGTCAAACAAAATTACCACACACACAAAAAAAATAATAAAAATAAATAAAATAAAATAAAATAAGACCCTTAAGAATAATAACAATTTTTACCCTATCTTTTATAAATGAAAATGAAATTTGAAAAGAAATGTAATATAGCTAAAAGTAATGATGAACAACAGCAAAAAAATTAAAATATTTGATTTTCATAGTGAGCACTGAAAGTACAAAGTATGGTTTGAGCGTTCTTCAGAGAAAGTGGAATAAATTGTGTGAAGAGAAACGCCGCGGTTCTTTAGCCCGTGCAAAATCTAAACGGTACATTTTCAAGAAGGCGGGGTCTTTACGCTTCTTTTTGACAAGTAGCAAAAACACTGTAATGATATTTGAACGCAATCTCCATTCAAAATGAGAAAATAAGAGTAATAATTACCTCAACTGTTTTCGGCACTTTAAATCGTGTATTGTCTGTTGTAATACAGCCGCGCATTAAGAAAACCACAACATCAAACTTAATTAACTAGCGGGACATTATATAAACAGTTTATCAGCCTCAAACCTATTAAATTCGGATTCCATTATGTTCCAAGATGACTCACAAACCAGCACATATTTTACACGAATTAATAAAAGGACAGTTTTGTTTGGCACGCGGCACGTAACAAAACCGCGGTCATTTTCACATCAAGTCCGCATTTTTGGTGCGTGTTAGTTTTTCGATGTTGTTCATATTTTCCCAGAAAGCTTCGTTACGTTAGGACAACAAGCCGCGTTATAGCCAGGTATCAAATAGAGCCACGACCTTTGTTAATTAGATCCCAGCGTCCCTCCGCAAAGAGAGACCGCCCCTTAAATTACATATCTAACCACCACAAAAGGTTGCTTTTGGTTCTGTTTCCCCAAGCGCGCGGGGACAAACACTTGATACAGAGATCTGAAAGAGGTTTAATTTTGTTATAATTTTGAAGGCGGTGCTGAACTTGTATTAGGTCCCAACTATCACCTACAGGGGTCCTATTCACCCTCCGATATCATTTTGGTATGTGTGGTTTCTTTTACAATAAGAAAATAAACGTTTACTCTATCCGTAGGCAAAACAGGGGCAAGTCATCGTAGACAAACACCAGAGCGAGATCAAACGGTACCATCTTTATAGCAAGATCAAGTAATGTTACTAATTTGTGGATATTAGTGCGGCTGAATGGGTCCCCAGAATGGTGGTTTCTTGCTCTGTTTTCGTTTCATTAATCTACTCGTGAGCTTGGGGCTCGGCTAAACACATTCGGTCCTATTTCAATGGCAACTTTAAAGACCGTTTAAAGACCCAGCCATTTATTTAATTTGCTCAAATTCCGTTTCTATTCTCCCCTTCGACTTATTTGTTATTGTACATTATGTCTGAATGGTGAGGCGAAATAATGTCCAGGGGTGCTCTGAGCTTTGTTAGGCCGATCATGAAAAGGTTTAATTTTCCCCATCTCTATACAGGTCTGTTCACTTCGCGACCCGAGTGCCTGAACTAACAACAAGAATGTTATTTTGTTTAGGGCAATTAAATGTCTCATTGGCTGGGGATAATACGGACATAATCGTCGACGGTTTTAATGAACCTTTGCGTTTGCACTAGAAAGGTGCACTAACTAGCCACTGGGGCTTGGGCTCACAAAAGAGCTCTAGCCCGAAAACTGGTCTAAAAGTTTTAGCCCAAAATTTGAGTCGACTTTGACCTTAGATAAATAAACCAGTAGTGGTCCAATTAAATCAAATATTGCCCCTATTTTGTAGCACAAATTACGTGGCCTATGCTTGTGATCTTTATTCAAATTGTGTTCTATGAATTATCTCTTACAGATAAAGACTTAAGCTCATTCTAGAACCCGGCTCATATGTGTAGCTGTGTTTTAGAATAACGCAATAATGTGTCACAAAGCCGACTTACTGGGTTAATTACCTTTATAGTGTGATATGAGTACGCTCTCTTCAAATAGATACAATAATTTCACTGTCAAATGTCATTTTGAGTTAAATTTCAATGCCGTATTTTACATGAATAAAGTATTTTTCAAATATGCTACTGGACTATACTACCAGTTCATTATAATTGAGGACAGGACATCGCTTATGATAAATTGTTAGTCCAGTGATAGATTTGAAATGTCTATATCCGTGATTGATATGCCATAAAATAGATTAAATTGTAACTCGTGACTGAACTGAAAAATAGTTTAATGAAATAATTTGGAACTACGTATGGATAGAAATATATCGTTTCGAATTAAATTGAAAGAAAGAATTCACGACTTAATCATCTAACAGGCGCAATAAAGCCAAGAAAGCGGAACTGACATAGTGCTTCAAGTACAAGAAAAAATATTCAATATATATAATATCAAACCATAAAATAAGTCAGGAATACTAGAAGATGAGGATATTAAGGAAAAGGGGGTATTAAGTTTGTAACAAGCGTCCTGTATTTGTCGGCTCCACTTAAGAGGGATTTAATCAAAACTTCTTCAAACTTTAACCCGAAGGGATGTTTAGTCCACCGCAAAATCCACTTGACTGTTGGGATAAAAGAACAACAACCACTCGAACTATGTTTACTCACTGGCTTTATCACCCTCGGTCAATTTACACCACTTACAACACTCCACCGAATTACGCGTAAAATACCTTAAGATGTTTCCAATGACCTCTTTAAAGCTAGCTCAGCCGCTTCTCTCTTTTACTTTCTTAAGCGTTCATCTTTTAAGAACGTTACAACACCTGTTTCGGGATTATCCCGGTGAGGTTGATTGACTGGTTCGACGAGATGTTGTTCTACCTGAGGCAGGGCAACAGTGTTATAGAAACACGTTGTTATTGTATTATTAAATAAAATGAGAAGAAACCTTCACAGGCCGCTGTGTTAGACAATAATTAACATATTTCTATTTCTTTTATATGATTTATATGATGTCCATTAATCCAGATAAAGATGTAAAGGCAAAATTGATCAAAACGTTTGCAAACATTCAAATGAAAAATGGATTTTTATTTTTTTTATATATAAAATAATTTATTTTGCGTAGACTTAGTTACAGTTATCTTTTCCTCAACTGCATTACTTATAATGAAATGTTGCAGTTTTCAATATGGGCCATCATCATCCAGATTTTTTATTCAATCATTTTAATCAGCTTTGTCCAATCTCAGCCATGACGTACCCGAGCTCATGCCAAGTATTGTGTTTTCAGGAAAACCAATGTTCGTCTCACCTGTTGCAATGGACTGTCGCCCGGCACAATCTGACGCAACCAACCTCAAGTTACCAGAAGGTGAGCTGACCGGTATTCTCTTGGGTGTTATCTGTATGTTCAAAACTATGTAGAACTTTTTTTTTAAATTAATGCTGATGACAGTGCCGCTTGTGCAGAAAGATGCGTTTGAATTTTGAGTATATTTGGAATTGTTTGCATATATGTCTTGTACGCTAATATTCCCTCTAAATTTTAAGATAAGAGTTTATTTAGCTAATTATAAGAATCGGAAATAATTTCTTTTTCCTTTTCCATATTGATGAGTACGTAAATGAAAAATAAAGAAACAATCAAAAATAAATGAACAGATATTCAGTAAAGACAAATAAGTGTCATTTTTTTAATTGACCTTTCTACTCTAGGCTTAGAGATCCGTACTACATTCGTCAATGAGGCCCCGCACCATAGTGTTTTCTGTACTCACGCCGCCATACCACGTGGCACGAGATTTGGGCCGTTCAAGGGCAAGGTCGTCCACATAAGCGAGATGAAAGATAAGGAAGAAAACTCTCGAATGTGGGAGGTGAGTGTAAAATCTATACTGTTTCTCATTTCTTTGCACCTCTCTTAACAGGTAACATCGATATTATTATTGATGCGTTCAGTTTTAAGTTGTTTTTTTTTTCACTTTGCCGTGAGGATTTTTTTTTTTTTTTTTTTTTTGCAAACTATTTACAACTCTCCAATGAGCTTTGAAAAGTGAGTTCAAATTCACTTATATTTTCATTTCAGATCTTTAAGGATGGCAAGCTGAGTCATTTCATCGACGGCCGCGGCATAGAGGGCAACTGGATGACCCTTGTGAACAGCGCGCGCAACCCGCGAGAGCAAAATCTCGAGGCAATCCAGGTCAAGGACGAGATCTACTATGAGGCCTGTAAGGATATTCTGCTCGGCTCCGAACTGCTGGTCTGGTACGGAGAGAACTATAAGCAGTGCATGATGATTTCAAGCGGGATAAGTGCAGATGTGAAGAGCACCGAAAGGGAGAAAGAAATTGATGAAAGTAAGTCAGATCTTTGACACATTTCGTTTGTCTCTTGGCATGACGACAGTACATCTGTATCCTCTTAAATGGCTGTTAATAAAATAAATAGGTGGACAGAAAGTGTAAATTTAAAGACAGACTTATAATATAAGAGAAAGAGGAAACATGGACCCGAAAACACCTTTATTCTTAGTCTAGGAAAGAGTAATTTTTATTCATAAATACACACATAAATATTGTCCGGACAAAGTAAAAAGTTAAAAAAATGTGCTTCTACAATATCTATTTCTTTAATCTCCAGGTTCACCGGGTTTCCAGTGCGAGCGATGCGGCAAGGTTTTTGCTTACCAGTATTACAGAGACAAGCACTTAAAGTACACACGCTGTGTGGATAAGGGGGACAGAAAGTTCCCCTGTCACCTTTGTGATCGGTGAGGGTTGCTTTTTTCTATTACTTCTTAGGAAGTTCTAAGGAAATAGTTTATAATTATGTTCGATCTCAACAACTTAACTGACCAATCAATCAAGCAGTAAGTTAAGGAATTTTCCGATTGTTTCAGGTTAATGTATCCTGAAATTCTACTGTTTCATTTTTTTCTGGAATTATTAACTCAAGACACGGATAATAAAAGAAATAAAACAAAAAAGGATTGATGACCTTTAGCATGCCTTGTAATTTTAAGTTGCTTTGAATTTGAGTCTGAAGTATATTAAACCCTAAATTCTGTTTAATTCTAATCAGATCGTTTGAGAAGAGGGACCGCTTGAGAATCCACATCCTCCATGTCCACGAGAAGCACCGTCCCCACAAATGCACCGTGTGTGACAAGAGTTTCTCCCAGTCTTCCAGTCTCAACAAACACATGCGGGTAAGTGGAATTGTGCTCGGCATCTCATCCGTCGCAATCGGTGTCCAATCGGGTGGAATCGGTTTGCAATCGGCTGGAATCGGTGTCTCCCAGTGTAAAATGATTGGCTGCCTTTGTTACGTGCAGCATGTCCTAAGCACACATATCAACAATTCAAGCCTAAATCGACCCGCTGTATGGAAATTAGATAAGACACACGTCTGTCTACATGAATTTACCCTTATCATAAACTACGTTTCACAAATCTCGTTAGTAGATGGAAATGTATACAATTAAATATGGCATACTAAGTAAACTTAATGTGTTGATTTAATGTTTCCAGGTCCACAGCGGTGAACGACCGTATAAATGCGTGTATTGCAGCAAGGCTTTTACGGCATCTAGCATTTTGAGGACACACATACGTCAGCATTCAGGAGAGAAACCCTTTAAGGTAAGGGTAATGCCACGCCCCTTGAGTGAAAAACTGCTTGACGATCAGTTATATAGAAAATCACTTCACAAGTAGCATACAATAAAATAAGGTTAGGATGGTCGAATTAGTTTTCCAGATTTTATTTTACTCTCCTATAAAATGCTGATTTATACTCACAATTCTTTTGCTCTCATTACAGTGTAAGCATTGCGGCAAAGCTTTTGCATCGCACGCAGCACATGACAGTCACGTGAGGCGCACGCACACAAAAGACAAGGCATGCGCATGTGCAATATGCGGCAAAACTTTCAACCAGACTTATGAGCTGTCTTTCCATATGCGGTCGCACAAAGGTGTGTATAATACATTCTTGCACATACTTTTTATATTTGCTAAACTAACTTTTCTTTATAATGAAATTCAAGCAATTCGTTTTCAACATGTAGCCTACCCAGCATCTGCATTCAAAATTATATGGAGCATGGCGTATGTTTTAAATGCCCTATTTAATTATATCTCCAGTTGAGCAAACCAACCCAGACACCACTTGCGAGCAATGTGGTCTACACTTCGTGACACCAAGTTTACGTCACGACCACGTGACCAGCGGACAGTGCCAGCACGCGAAGCGCGTGAGCATGCGCAGTGACTCTTCTAGCAGCGGGTTCTCTGATGGGGATTCCGTCATTTCCAATGACTCCATAATTGAGCGACCGGAGGAATACATAGACGTCGAAGCTTAATCCCATTGTTCACTTTTCTAATTTTCCTCTTTTTTTTTATACACCAGTAGATATTCTAGTAAGGAACGTCTGATCATTTGTTATACTCCTGATCTAAGCCAGTTGATGCTGGAGTTAAACACATCCTGTGTGTCACGGAAAGCATGTATAGCCTACCCATCGAGCCGTTAAACGCCCTGTTCGATCGATAGAAATCTCTGAAAGATATTTCAAAAGTCGATATAAAACTCATTGGCACAGCTGCCCAAATTTCATTTTGATTTTTCTCGACAATTCCAAAAACTGCATCGAATCAACTCTAGGTTTTATAAAATTGGTTTCTGTGCACATAAAAGTTTCGGGTATATAGTTTGAAGAGTGTTTAGCATAGAACTGATTGATTTGTAAATAGAAGATATAGTTGCTAATACGACAATCAAGAGTAAGAATGCCAATAGATTCGCATTTATCAAACCTTGCCAATTATTTTAACGTAATAAGAGGTACAGTCATCAAGCCTTGCTGTTGACTTAAAAGACTTAAGTAATGGGCTTTATACGATAATTAGCTGTCATTTTAGCTCAGACTATATGCCAAACTGAGTTTAGCCTAGAAGACACTTTATTGACAGAACAAATATGGTATTATGTATATAACACTTATTATGTACATAAGTAATTGACTATATATCAGATATATAATGGCGGAAATGTGAATGACATGAAGTATTCAAGGAAAAGCAACGAGTGCGTGACGACTTATTCGTCACTGTCATGACAACGACATTCCATATAGTTATCGGTTTTGATAAAACGCGATCATGTAAACATGACTTATTATTTATTAAAGAAAAAATAAAGATTGTTATGGTGAAATGCTTGTATTTTTAATTCATTTTGTTTTAAAAGCTATCAAGATAAATTAGTCCAATGCGCTATGTCCCATTGTCTTTAGAGACAAAATGCAGCTCTTCACCTCTTTAAATAATTTGCTCAAAGGAAATCAAATCATCGCTAGTAAAAGTCAGCTTTGTAAAGGTTATACGCATTAAGAGAGTACAAAGACCAGCTATCAGCAACCAGGAATTCATACTTTGGAATTTTGAGGAGATTTTTATTGCCAAATAAACAGATCAGAGACCCAGACTCCCCAGAAAATATCAGACTGATGGCCAAAACCAAGAAGAAAATCTTAAACTTCTCGCTGTTCTAAATTTATCGTTTAAAGCGTTTCAAGTTGCGTTGAAAGGTAACCGCAGAGCAATCTACGACGTATAACAATTATTACATTATTCACATTCTGGCTATGTACAAAATCTGATCCTAATAGACGCGGTGAAAATAAACAGAAACCATTAATCACAGAAGTTTTCTATTTACGTTTTAACTATTCAAAAGAACTGTCCCTCGATAGACTTTTTTTACTTAAGAAAAACATATGAATTAACATTCGATCATTTGGTTGTTTTCAGCATTCGATGTTAGAAAATTGGTTACGATTAGTTAGTCCACTGCCACATATCCCAAAGTCACAACTCTCCTCGCAACTGTCTCAGTAACGCTTAACCTTGCATCGATTTTTTTTGTACTCTTAAATGAATTACTATCCACTGGGAGGGGGTAATTAAGCCACAGAAGACATGTGCATAATATCACATCCGATAAAAAAGGGCAAAAACCTGTTCTCATTACTGGAGAGATATTGATATTTTTTTTTTCAAAATTGTTTTCAACACAGTTGCCTTATTTAACGATGAGAATGCTTCAAAATATTTCCCAATGAGTTCAGTTCAGTCGGATGTGCCATACCCACTAGCGGGTGTCGCATATTTAATTCCAGACTCGGAAGCCGAAGTCACAACCAGCAGATATAGTGGACTAACATGGCCGACCCTTGAAAGCTTGCCGCATTATCCCCTAATAGATACTGACTAGATTTTCGGTGGAGAATAAGCGGGAAGCTTTCAAGTGGGTCGGCCATATGTCATCCGCAGATCGATTATTCTGTTGTTGTGAATGCGGCCTCAGTAGCCATGGGTATTGCTGCCGTAACGATATTCGTCAAATTTACCCTTCTGGATTTACCACAAGATTAACTGAGGCTCACTATTTTTCGTCAAAAATTAGGATTAACTGAGGTTCGCTACTTTTTAAGAAGCATTGCTGTTTTGTTTTAATACGACTTTCGCTCAGGACTGTACCATATCGGCTGTAGCGTACAGTGCGGTTGATTTGCCGAGAGCCGCTTTTTACCTCTGCTCAAACACCATATGTTAAGTTGCCCGAGCCTTTCAAGACTGCCAGGTAGGAAAATTGTGGTTAAACGCACAGAAGCGCATTAAAGTAGCAGAAGCTATCGAGTATCTGCGGTGCCATAAATAGAACTCGGCTATGCTACCGCTTGCTTCAATATTACTTCAGCTATTTCTGTTTTGGTAGATTCATCACTGCTGACGTGTTTCACGTTCCTTCGAGATAAACGATCCAAGACACCACCGTTCAAATTCCACGACAAATTACGCCGGGAAGGACGATTAAATAACGTATTCATTGAGCCATTACACAAGGGGTTTTAACCCCGGCTTTCAACAAGCAGCAATTCTGAAGAAACGCTTATAGCGGATGTGGCGTCACAGGAAGTTCCTCCTGGTCGTCTGCTGACTCTCCCTGCGTTGGGAGGTGGGGAGGTATCTTGGCTGCTTCTTGTGCCAAAAAATGGAAATCGAATCACCGTTCTTGGAAACTAAAATGAACAAACCGGATGATAAGACATTACACGATGCTGATTTCGAGCCGTCCCTAGCTACAACCCGACCGCTAAGGTTCGCTCAGCGGAAACGAGATTTTTCCATAGGTGAGTTTGTGTTCTTGTTAATCGTAGTCTTCCAAGTCTAATGTTGTTTGATTCTAAAATCCTGCCCCAGCTGAGCTGGGTGCCATGCCGACCTTTTGAAGAAGTAGCATATCACGCACTTTGATGGACGTGAGCGCCATTACACCGATTACACCTATCTCACCTCACACACATCAAAGTTCGAATACATCAGCCGGGAAAACGCTCGACTTTGATCGAGTGGCAAAGCCATGGGGGTCATGGCGAGGGAGTGAGCGTGCTTTTTTTTCCTTCGAGGTAACCTGACCAAGTTAGGAGATATGATGAGTTGAGAGGGATGTGTGGCGTGTCTGTCAGTGGGAAGGAAATGCCAGAATGTCAAAATCATGTTCTGTGAAAGAGAAGGCCTCCCCTCACCCCCCTTTTCCGTGTCCTGAAGCCGCTGTGTTGTTGTTTATTCATCATGCAGGGACCCTTAGACTCCATACACAAACATTTTTAACACACTTGGAAATCTCAACGTCCTATAACGGCGATTAAAATTAAGGGTCTTTAACCCAAACATAAGTCTTTAAGTCTTTTAGATTTAGAATCTGGTGGGGAGGCATGGGTGGCGTGGGGTGTTTTGGTGGGCGGGGGGGGGGGGGGGGGGGGGNNNNGGGGGGGGGGGGGGGGGGGGGGGGGGGGTGGGGGGGGGGGGGGGGGGGGGGGGGGGGGTGAAGATGCCGGTTGCCCTTATTTCCTTTTTCCTAACTACCTACCACTGTTTAGGTTTAAACTCTTCCATTGAATTCTGTGTTATCTTTGTTAGCACCATCGCTATGTAAATCCACGTAGACGAGAAAGTCGGGACGTATAGCATTTATTCGTTTATATAAAGGGCAAATAAAAAGGATAATTGTTGCCTGAATATTGATAATACACGATACCGGCCATTAGCGTACTTAATAGTTTTAAACCCGAGGATTGTAGGGATGGTGCTCTATTTAGTTAATTATATAGGACACCTCTGCCCCCCGTGTGTTTTTTTCCAACGTTGAAGGTTTGGGCAGATTTCCTAACTAGTGAAAAACATCTGGCTATCATGTTTATGAGTTAGGAAGTCTGGATTTATTACACGTCGGTATCTGTTATATTTCATGAATGACTGGCCGATGATAAGTTGAATTTTTTTATTCCAAAGCTCTTCCTCAGAGGTGTTTTACCAAATTCTTTCTCCTGCGTCATTTCTAAACCCGTGAAAGCAGACGATAAGTTTGATCCGCAGCAGACGATCTCCATCCCCCGCCAACATGGATTCCTACACAATGTATGTTATTGGAGCGATCAGTCTTGCCGTTGCTATGATTTTAATGATTAAAGCCTTCAAAGCAAAGTTAATGAAGGAGCTGAAGGAATAGCCTGGAACGCTGTACTTCTCACAGAAATGGACTGGACAGACCGCAAACTTAATTTTGTACATAGATGTATTATAGATGTGGACGCAGCAGGTGTATTTATAAACGCCGTGGTTTAGCATGGGACTCAAGCAACGGCTGTGTAAATCTGTAATAGGTGGGTATGTTTTCTTAGCATTTACTTGCAGTGCGTTCCAGGTAAATGAGAGATGAGAGCGCTAAACCCGATGGTTACAGAACAGAATTTCTTTGACGTCAGTTTAAACCTCGATAGTCGAGATACGCTAATGGGACGTGGAAACACGGCTACAAATGCAGCCAGAAATCAGCGTACGGTTTCTTTGATTTTAATCAAGGCCGAGGAAAATAGAATAGTCAGCGAGCAAAACATCTAAGTTAATGAACCGATTCAGAAATATCCCATTATCATTTTCCTAGAGACCTAGCTGTAAGATGCTCGACGCAGTAAATATAGATCAGCAGTTATTGCAGCCTACTTTCTAAATTAAACTAAACAGGCAAGGAGGAAAACATATAGATCTGAAATAAAACTTGCTCTCTTATTGAAGACCGCAGGTTAACGAACAGATTTTGGGCTTTTTTTTCACGGTTCAGTGATCGACAGCGAAAGAACAGATATGATAACAACAGTAATAAAGAGCAATCTAAATTGCATGGCCAATGCCTTTGCATATAATAGCCAGGCAGACTACTAAAGATCATACAAAGTGCTGCTAAAAGTCTTGTTTAGAACCTCGTTATCTTTGATAAATGAAAGTTACCAACAATCGGGCTTCCGGGCCCAATAAATGATCTATTCACACACTTGCGAAATTGAAAATAAAATCCACTTCAAATAGGGAATAATGTTTTGAAGGGCGCGAGGCACGGAATTAAGAGTAATTTATGGATATCTTGATGGAACATGTATTTATTCTGGACTTATCGACTCTGTTTGATGGCATTTGGATTTCATATCCAGACTGGGGGATGCGATTCTTGATAGATTATTTGATTTTCGTGGAAGTTGAAGTATGAAAGTTGGCCTATTGATTGACCAAGACGCACATGGCCGCCTTCAAGCCAGAAAATCTATCACTGTCTCTCAAACTTATGTTCTATATTTTTTCATATTGCATTTCCTGGAGATAACGTGCCATAAACTCTCTCTCTCTCTCTCTCCCTCTCTCTCTCTCTCTCTCTCTGCCATTTTCTACCTGGGCGTTAGGTCGCAAAATGAGGAATTCAAACTCAGTGGCAATGATGTAGATTAGATTTTCCCGTAGTGACATTGCACAATTAACCCCGCTATGGATATTATAGGCGGGTCTCACCGTTTTCAAAGTAGATTGTTAGCAGTGCGCGTGTCAGGGCCCATTCCCAGACCCCATCGTACTAACTGTGGATCGATCTATCTCCGAGCGTTTTTTCCCTAAATTGCAGTCAATTTAAGCGACTTAGATGTCTGTCACGCCTACTGAAGATGTAAGGGGTTAATTAATTATCGTTTTGCAGCTTCAGTAGGCGTACCAGACATCTACGCCGCTTAAGCTGCAAGCAATTTAGCGCGAAATCCCTCGGAGATGGATCGATCCTGTTAGATCGATCTAGGTAAGGCAACCCAGTCTCAATGGCGTGATGCCTTGTTACAGCACGACATATTCCAGTTAGATCTCTAGGTATCAGTTATTGTAATTGATCCCGTGGAAGTAAAATTTTTGCTGGATAGAAAAATGCCATAGAAAGGACAGAAAACCGTACTGGTAGATGCGCCTCCATGATAAGGGTCCTGGCTTTATCGATATTACCTCCACGGGCATGCAGAGTAAAGGTGTGCAAATGGCAGATGCCAATTGGAAAAATATCCACATTCAGCATAAATTTCGTCGTTTTTAGTTGTTTTATCAATTTATTTCTCTTTTCAAAAAAACAGTCACACACTCACACATACTCACAATGCCACAGTATAGAGCGTATCTGTAATTTTCAACTTCATCGTTAGAAAATAGTAAATCGCACTCCGTCATTTTTCCTGGGAAATTAATGAATATCGTATGATTAAAATCGACCGTCTTGCAGCTAATGACCAAATGGCCTGCTTACTGAGATTAGATTTTCGTCCAAGGAGAAGTTGGTGTATCTTGTATGGGTAGCCGTGCGCAAGGGGCGGTTTCCTCACTTGTCCGGGATGCTAGAGCCTTGTTTACTTATAGTTTTGTGCTTTGTGCCATTTTGGTTCAGTTTGACACTTATTTACTTAATGAGTAAGGAGTGATTACAGAGTGTGTGTTGTGAGTGTTTTTTTTTTTTTTTTTTTGAGGGGGAGAGCCTGCTTTATATATATATATATATATATATATATATATATATATATATATATATATATATATATATATATATTTTTTTTTTTTTTTTTTTTT